TCTCTCTCTCTCTCTCCCCTCCCTCCGCCCCCCCCAATCTGTGTATGACAAACGTCTGACCTAAGCGCCCAATTTAGGGCCAACCCCAGAGACCCCTCCTGTATCAGTGGCCAGACCGAACACCAATACTTCCTAACCTTAGACCTCTGCCAACGTCAACGTGACAGGGAAAGCTGTAAAATCCCCTTAATCCGGAATTTGTCCAGCGCCGAACATCAGAGGCCAGTGGTCTTCCGAATCACACGTCCGTCCGTGACTCGACAATGGTGCGCTAAGGTGCAAGAATGGGCAAATCCTTCCTTGCTGTGCTGACAGTTTTCCGAGAACGCTTCTGCTATAGAACTGCGACAGTTTGGAATGCAACTCGACGAAATGCGGGAAATTGAGAGTCCTTACCTCGGTCGTTACCCCCTCGACGACTCAAGTGTTGGCGGGTTGCTGGGCGAGGGACGATGGACGTAATCGGTTGCTTGGAAGTGATAATGTTGTAAGTGGGTACTGTTCTTCCATATCGCACGGTAGTGTTCGTGCTGTACTGTTCTTCGTTTTGTGCTGATTGCGTATATGCCTAACTAGACGAATAATTCCCCCGGTTGTCACTCACTCTGCGATAATACTGTAGTTGAATGTGATCTCTCCTTTTGGGTTGTCACTGTCCCGTGATCTCTGAATAGGCTGAACCTGTTTCCGACATCTTGAATGGGCTGAATCTATTTCCGACAGCTTGAATGGGCTGAATCTATTCTCGACAGCTTGAAGATGCTGGATCTGCATGAATTTTCTACATTTTGAAGGTGCTGAATCTACTTTCGACATCTTGAATGGCTGAATCTATTCCGGGTATCCCTAAATAAGCCGAAATTATTCACGTGATTCCTTGATGAGCGTCTGGTTGCTCTAATTTGTCCGGACCTTAGCGTACAAGGTTTCTTGTACGCTAAGGTCTGGACACGCCCTTGCATGGAAGCCCCGAATACAAAAGAACATTTTTACATAATCAACCTGAACTATGGACCTACTCTCATCTTTCAAGTCAAAGAGGATAAGAATACAAACACCTGTTTAACTATGTTCAACTCACAGATTCGATTTTAGCTCGTGTGACTATAAAAGTAGTAAACGGAAAGGAAACAGAAAAGAAAGACAAGTATGGAGGTAGTCGCCAAGGGCGTACACGTCTGGCGTCTTTCTCTTTCAATGGGATTAGAAAGGAAATAAGCATAATATAGTTGTGAATCTAAGAAAAAAATATAAAAATAGTATTGAAACTTTGATGTCTTTGAGTATTTCTTTTGGCGTTTGAGTGTGAAATAGGATATATTTAGGCGGTGTCTGTTTCGTGTTTGTCTGGGGAACGATTTCCAGTTCAAACGGTTTGTTTTACTATTGGCAAAAATTCTCTGTGTGTGAACACATTTAGGCGAAAGCTTTGTAATATGAATCTGTCGGTACCTGGCTCCGCTGCAATAGTGTTTGAGTGTAAAAGAAGGGCGTTATCTTGAATCTTGAAATTCCGCCAGGGTTTTAGAAAAGTTTGAGAATTGATTCGTAACCTAGTCTAAAAGGTCTATCGTCTTTGTGTACCTGTTGGGTTGCTTACTTGATAGATATTTGCTTTGAATGTATGCATGTATGTATGTGGATAGGTCTGCTTATGAGTTTCTTTATGTCAGATTATGTTTCTGTGTTAGCATTACCATCTCTCTCTCTCTCTCTCTCTCTTCTCTCTTTCTGTGCCCGTCTTTAACACTGAGTCGATAGTGCCTTAAAACACCTACTCAATCAATCAATCTTCTGTAACATACTCGCATACATACACATACAGATGAATAAATACATGCAACAGCCAATACATACAGGCACACATATCAACACACACACACGCAGTATTTCACACACACACACACACACACACACACACACACACACACACACACACACAC